CACATAGCATACATATTTTTGATAGACACCATCTACACTATTTCTACACACCATAATCATATAAGATAAGAATCAAACAACAATATTGATATAAATTCAAGTTATGCATAAAAATGGTAATTCCATCTATCAAAAACCAACGCAGACAGTTTTTCATCAAGCATCTAAACACAAAACACCTACGGTCGACATCCCAATAACATATTAACTTTAAAATTGAATATACACACATAGGCATCGGATTATAAAAAAAAAAAAAAAAAAAAAAAAAAAAAAAAAACCCTAAAGCATATTCTTTTAATGAAATCCTTAGGGAGTCGCCGCTAGGCTGAAATAGCTTGTCGTTATTGAAATCGGCAACCTTCCTTGGGACTTGTATGTACATAGTTTTATTTGGCTTGGGCTTCACCGAGAGCTCTGGAAATAAATTCTTTATCTTGTCCATTGACGGCGGCGGTGGCTGTGTGGTCGAGGAGGAGATTGGAACGACTGCGGAGGGATGGTTGGGAATCGCAAAGGACGGTTTCAGTCCGATGGAATTAGGGCTCGGGTTATTTTGGTGGACGATGGGAGGCAAACGACGGCGGTGGTATGTGGGTGATTGCGGGAGGGGACGACGACGGCGGCGTGGCTAGGAGATTCGCAACGGGGGTGATTTCGCACGGGGGGTACACGTAGGGCTGGGTGAATTTTTGGGGAATGGAGGTTATTTCATCTAGTAAATAGTTGTATATTATTAGTTATGGAAAAGAAATTATTTAAGGAATATTCTAAAATTAATACATAATAAAAAAAAGAAATCAGTGTGAGATTATGATGTTAATTTTCAAAAATAATTTCGTTAAATTAGGTTAAATTTGATTTGTGATTAGGTTTGAAATTTTTAAAAATATAGAAGTCAAACTTACTCAATATAGTGAATATTTCACTTGTTGAAAATATTACATTATATTACAAATTTGTGAGCATCAAAATAATATAGTACATATTACCTCTATTTTACATGATGTCTATTTTACATTAAACATCATGCTAGCGATATTATGACATCATGTGTGAAATGTATGTACATAATTACTTTTTCAAATGTTTTATATTTGGAAAGAACGTAATTGCATATGCTTCTAATTTATGTAGGTAAATATTTTCAATTATAACGCAACTAATTAACATATTTAACTATTTCTTAATTAATTGACATTTAATTAGTTTCTTCCAATATTTCTAAAGTAGCCTCAATGAATAACATCATAGAAATTTTGATCGGACAACTGAAACAGGTTCAGGATGGTCCTGGATCTTATATAGGGTCAGGAGTATAATAGCAACCCAAACTATAATAACATATAATAAACAGTAATTAGGTTGTATAAAATAATATTATTCACTACAATTAGGGAGCATAACTGCGGTAAGTTGGATAGAAATGGGGGGTTGGGGCTCCAATCCAATCCCAAATTCCCCTTTATTTTTGCAGTTTGGTACAGTGGTATTTTGTGTATTTTTGTCATTTTGGAGTGTATTGTGTGAATTTATTTTTTTAAAAAATGATATATAATTTAATATTTTAAAAGTTTATATGTAATTTTATTTTTAAAAAAAGTGATATATGATTTTATCTTTTAAAATTTTATATGTAATTTTATTTTTCAAAAAAGTGATATATAATTTTATGTTTTAGAAAGTAATATGTAATTTTATTTTTAAAATAATGTGTAATTTTATTCTTTTAAAAAATGTAAGTTTGTTCTTTTTTATTTTTTCTCCCACACATTTTTTTCAAAAATATTAATATATTACACACATTTATTATTTTTGTATTTTCTATCCAATTTCTTATACTCACATAAAAAATACCCCTTTAAACTATTTTCACAAAACAAACACACCCACTACTATAATTTTAGTTTTTGGAAAGTGATATAATTTTATTTTTTTAAAACTAATATGTAATTGTATTTTGTAAAAAGTGATGTGTAATTTTTTTTTATTTTGAAAATAATTACTTTATAAATTATAAAATATACTTCATCCGTTCAAAAACTAATGTATGTAAATTTACTCTTTTTTTTATTGCCCCCTTTCTTTCTTTTTTTTTTTTATACACAAAATTTACTCTTTTACTCTTTATTTATTTACTCTTTCATTTTTTATAGACAAGATAAAGAGCAAATTTGTAAATCATAACAAAAAACTAGTTGCCTAAAATGTATGTAAATTATCAATTAGGACAATAAAAAATGGTAGAAAATGGACTGGGAGAGTATATTTTTAGATGATAATATAAAAATAAATTAAATTTGTGGTGTAATTTATAAATATGGAAAGTTATATAAAATAGGAATATATAGAAAATATATTTTTTAGAGTAAAAATTGAAGTTTATATTTGAAATAAAAATTACTGTAATCAATAACATTTTTACTGTAACCGCGTTGTTATTTTCATTCCCGCATTTTATTTTCATTCCTTTGGTTTCAATGATTATTAGATTCAACACACTATTGAATACATCCCAAGCCAATTGGATTCTAAAGTAGGCCAAGAATCTAAATTAATTTAGTAGATAAAATTGTCAATTTGTCACTAATATTAATAATTATGACATTAATTTTATCATTAATTAACTTAAATTAAGCAATACAAATATTAAAGATATATAAGTATACAAATTATTTCTCATTCGGTATGAGAATCATTTCACACAAATAAAATTAGTTTTTCTCTCGAAATCACTCAATCAAGTATAATAACGTTCAAAAATTGAAATTGTGCAACGCTATAAATCGACTTGAAGAAAAACCAACATAGTTCAAAATGTGGAGAATAAGAATTACATTCAGAAAACTTTGAATCCTGTAAGTTTTTGTTTCCAATATAAATATTTTGGCATTTTTCTACCGCATCATATATTTATTCAATAAACAACATTTTACTAAGCATAACAAAGCATTTCCATAATAGATGTTGAGTATATCATTACTTGTATTTTTTGAGAACAAAGATATTGTTTTTCAATCATGACTATCTTTAAAATACATAATACATTGCAAGATTTCATTCTTATATTTGTTTCTCATCCTTAAATACTTCTTAATTGTCAGGTTTAAAACATAAAAAATTGGATGGACATCATTTTTAGAAAGCTTTTATATATTTTTTAAATTTTAATAAAATTTGCCTACTAAATTAAATTTACAAAAATCATAAAATTCTATTTTGATATTTTAAGAAAATTATAATTTAGTAATAAGCTATATTGTGTAACAAACCGTGTAATTTACTCGTGTAGATTATTATGACTGGGCGACTGCAAATTTTTCAAAATCCTAATGATATATACAAATCTTATTGTCAATATGCTCATATGCTATGGTTGCTGTTCGGATTCAAATACAAAAAAGGTTAAAAATGGATATTGTAACATATTCATATGTTTTCGAATATAATGATATACATTATGTTTTCGAATAGAGACAACATTTCATTAAATATGTATAAATGTTGAACATATTTTTTATACTCATAGGACAGTTCGTAAACCCTTACTAAACCATTATAAAAAAATAAAATAATCACGATTTACATCTTAATAACTCAATTGTCTAAGAATGGTATCAAGACTCATAGTTATTGGGTTAAAAAAACAATAAACCCTTAAAACAAGTGTCCCTAATAAAATACTTTTAAGAATTCCCACTTGACATGAAAAGGTTTTGGTTGGTCAAGTCGACCACCTTCTTGAGCACATGGGAAAATTGTATGAAATTGGTTCTCTTGCCCTTGTGCTTCATCGATGTCTTGGGGTCTTTCTTGATTTTAGTCATTTCTATCTTGAACGATGCAATGCCAAAAGATGTCAAGATTGGACGGGGTAACAAGCACGAAACATCATGGAAAGGAATAAGGTGAATGTCAACTTCACGGGGGGTGTGAGACTGAAATGAACTATGGCATGGGTGGCTCGGAGGCACGGGGTCAAAGATGAAAATCACGGTAGGTTGCATGGGATTGATTTAGGTGGATGTAGGTTAATTTAATTTTATTGAGGGTGTATTTAGGAAGGGCTTTTCATATAAACTATGCATATAATTTAATTTTATATTAATTATTAAAAATATAATTAAAAAATTTATATATAAAAAAAGCCATAATCTTTAAGACACTAAATTAAAATTAAAAATGAAAAAATCTAAGTTGATTCCTCTATAAAGCAAAAATTGGAAGATGGATGGGCTTGCATGCACTTGCTTGGAAAATTTGAAAAAATAAATTATTATACTTTAAATTTAATTTAATAAAAAAATAAAAATTGCAAAACTCGGGTACAAACTTGAAAGAAAGAAAAAAGTAGAAAGTGAAACAAAAATTAGAAGAAAATACAAAAAACAAATTACAAGTAGAAACCGTAGAAGAAATGGAGAAGATTAAACATATATTAGGATGAATGAAACTTGGAAGAAAAATCAAATCAAATTTTTTTTTAAATGAAATTGAGACTTGACACAAATAAATTAAAGAAAAATTTCCCATTATGCAAGAAAGAAAAAGATTCAAAATTTAGAAGAGATTGAGAAGTTAAAGTACGGTAGTGAAAGAATAAAAGAAAATTAAATAATATAAAAATCATTCCAGATTTTGTATTGTAAAATAGGCTATTTTTATTTTTTTAAAATGAATCCTTAAAAGTAAAAGCAAACAGTTACATACATATATATATATATATTATACATTAAACTTAAAAAATAGGCCATTTTAATTTTGGGCCTTGGACAAGAGCCTTTTCGCTCTAGTCCAGGGCGGCCCTAAGCATTACTCAATAAGGCATTGCCATCAAGTAAATTTACAATAATTAAAATACCTCGAGATAATTTTACTTACCTTATATAACTCTTTGACCTAGATTCTATTGAAAATGTACATTGTTCCTATATAATGACCACCGTATCATATATTTTTTGTCATTTTCATCTTCGTCTTCGTCTTTGTCGTCAGTTTCTTCTTAAGAAAAGGAAAATAGAAAACCCTAACTTTCCGCCCATCAATGGATTCTCAAATTAATAAACCAATTCCTTCGGACACAATATCAAACACTAATTCCATCAATCCCTTCAATCAAATACCCATTGAAACAATCATCGAAATCCTCTCTAGACTCCCCATCAAATCCCTAATCCAGTTTACCTTCACCTGCAAAACCTTGAATCCTCTTTCCACCGATCCTCACCTTATTACTCTCCACCTCTCTCGATCCGATGAATCATATATCATAATTCATTCCAATCGCCCCTTCAAAAACCAACTCTATTTCCTCAATTTTTCTGACCAAAAAGTTTGCAAATTTGAAATCCCCTTTGCTCTTTTCAATTCGGATTTCAACATCATAGCTTCAAGCAATGGTTTACTTTGTCTCATCGATCCATTTTTTCCTACGCATGTTTCTCTATACAATCCCTTCACAGGGGGATACGCTGAGCTCCCACCTAAGATCGATTTCCATGAAACAATTATTATCCATGGATATGGGTTCGATCCTATTTCCCATGATTATAAAGTCGTCCAAATCGTGTACGATAAAGATCTTTATTCTCCTTATGCTATCAGGGAAAATCAAGGATCAATTGAGTCATTTTCATCCAATGTTGATGTGTATAGTCTACGTAGCAATGTGTGGATGAATAAAGGGGTTGCTCCCTATTTATTAGAGAAATGGTCATCTCCCGGAGTTTTAGTGAACCACAAGCTCCATTGGGTAAGTATATGGGGAAGGAATCCCACTGGTCGTGTGATTGTTTCATACAACTTGGTTGATGATACATTCACTGAGATTGCCTTCCCAAGCTTTGAATCTTTCAGTAGAAGGATTAAGAGTCAACTCTTGGCATTAAATGGATGTCTTTGTGCTTCTATGCCCCGCTCTTCAGGGTGTTGGACATTTGACATATGGGTTATGAGAGAGTATGGGGTGAATGAATCGTGGGTAAAAGAGTATTCAATAGGCATATACTACCCAAATTTGACGATTAGCAACAATTCAGAGCGATTGCCAAACATGTCGGCGAAGAAAATAGTGAAGGTGTTGTGTGCCTTGAAGAGTGGAGAATTAGTTATGCAATATAGAAGAGATGGTTTGGTTTTGTATGATCCTCGTAGCAAAAGATTTAAGGAATTGGAGTACAAGGGAATGCCAAAAATTAATCAAGCAATCGTTCATGTCGGAAGTCTGGTGTCTCCACATTTGGTATACTCTATGCTCGATACTATTATTTTAAAATGGGATAGTATGATAACTTGTGAAAATCAAAGACTTAATACAAATTTTGTGATAAATATTAGTCTTCTTAGATACACACCATCATCTTAATCTATAAAATAGCATGCTCAATGTGTGATTGTCACTACCACTTTCCCTTTGTTATGGTTTACATCATTGAGAATTATTTGTTATGGTTTACATCATTGAGAAATATAGGAATCTTATATTGCTTTGAAATTGATAGATGAAATGTAACAATATATCATGTGTGCTATTTGTGTAGGGTTGAATCAAGTTCAAGCAACAATGACCAAAGTATGAGATACTTAGCCTCATTAAAGTGGATTAAAGGTGTTATGGAATTGTAGACAAACTCTACAAAGCGATATGGGTATCATTTTTAAAATTACTACATACTAAATATGCTAAATCTTATATTATTATTAGTGGATTCTTGATAACAATGCCTACCTTGTTTACATAAATAATTTTATGAATCGTTTTATTATTTATGTTTTCTATTATTACATTGTAGTTGTCTATTGTATAGCTTCGCTCTTTTCAATGTTGCATAGATGTATAATATTGTGTTGGTGAAGTTATTCACATCCTATAAAAGTAAATTATATAACAGATCATTTTTTGAAAGACACTTGTTTGTAGTTTCATTCTTTTGAAGGTACAAATTGTTGAGAATTTATGAAACTGATTAATCGATGAGTGAAAATATGATAGGTCGTTGAACCAAATTAATTAGATTAAATTGGATTAACTATGTATTTTATAAATATATATATTTAGATATGGTGCTTGTTTAATATTTGGCTATTTTTGTCTATTTCAAGACAAACCAAATTGTGAAGCCCAAAATTAAACCCGGACATTTGGCCCAAGTTGTAGACTATCTGGTGGATAGATATATTATAACCTCAATTGGAAGTTTGGAATTAGCATAAAGTATGATCATCTTAAATCGAAAATTTGATATTATCATAAATTACGATCATTCCAAATGAAAGATTTGAAATTAGCGTAAATTACGACCATCTCAAACAGAAAATTTGAAACTAATGTATTATGAATCAATTACATTAGTAATGCCATTTTAATTTTAGTGGAGACACTTATATAAATGGTCTTCCCTTTTATTCTCAAAATACACCAACGACTTGAGCTCTCTCCTTTCCTCATCTCCTCTACTCCTCTCTTAGAATTTTCGGCAAATTTTACGGCCATATTCCGAAAAGTCATCCTAAGCTTTCGGAAAAGCTTAGTTATTTCCTCGTTCTTGTTCGCCAGAGCTCTGACTTATTGAGGTGTTACCTAAGCCGGAGACGAAAGTCGTTTTACCTTTTAAGACAAATCGTCATCTTCAGAGGCACTACCGGGATGTAATTTTCCTTGCGAGCAGAGGGTCTCCTCGATTCGGATTCATTTCCAATCAACATCACTCTACCCGGATGTATTGTATTATTTATTATTATTTAATTTATTATCTTGCATAACAATAGTAATATTATTTTCTAACAATCGCAAGACAAATTATTTTATCTTTGTCTAATATTGTATTGAGAGATAGCGCATGATCAAATTATCAACATTGTTGATACTCTCTAAAAATCTCACTATTGTCTCCATTGATGCCAATGGAGTGACCAGAACTCATGCTCTCCTGATGATGCGTTAATTTTGGTAATAATCTTATTATATCGTATAATGTGTATTATTAAATTAAAGGACTAGGTTGTGCCTTTAAAAGTTAAATTGAAGTCCGAGTATGTCGGGTTTAAAAAAAAAATTGACCCTCTTGTAGACAATGGTGTGATAGAGGGTGGTTCGTTCATTGAACATATGGAAGAATTTCATCATTTTGTCCACTATGTCTTCGATGAATACAATGCTACCGGAATCATCATCCCTTATATGATGATCGATAAGTTGCCCCAAAAGTGGAGCAAGTTCAAGCCTAGGCTGAAGCATGAGCGGAAGCAGATAGGGCTCTATGATCTATTTGTTCGAATCTCTGTCAATTAGAATAACATAAAAGAAAACAAGGTCAAAGGCAGAAAAATTTTCAAAGCTAATTTGGTTAGAGAGCCTTCCAAGAAGTGTCCTTGACATACCAAATTATGGAAAACTATTTTCACTATGAAAAAATAGGACACTTGGGGAAGTACTGTTGTCGTATAAGAAGAAGAAAAATTAAAGTTCCCACTTTGTCGAGATATACCATAAAAAGTGATTGTGACCTCGGAAATTGTGATCTGGTCATCATAAAATATGAGACTAATCATATTGAAAGTCTAAATACACAGTTCATTGATATTGGAGCCATATGTCATGTCTATTTCAATAAGACAAATTTTTCAACACAAAGTAAGATCGAAGGAAGAAAGTTATACATGGAAAATCACGTGACTTCCGAGGTCAAGGTGCAGGGAATTTAGTGCTAAAGATGACCTTCAGCAAAGATCTGACATTAAATTATGTTTTGCATGTATTTGACATCTAGAAAAATCCCTTACCTGGTTTGCTAGTTGTAAAGCATGGCTTTAAACTAGTCTTTATAATTGATATATTTATTTTATCAAAAAATGAGATTTTATTAGCTAGAGGTTATCTTAATAATGGCTTATTAAAGCTAGATGTAACGTTTGGGTGTCAGGCACCTATTGTGAATAATAAAAATTATTCTTCTTCGTATTTAATTTAGTGTTCTAACTTATGGTATTGTATATTGGGTCATGTGAACTTTAATTCTATAAAAATATTAGTAAATATAAATTTCATAAACATCAAATAAGGAACATACAAATAAACGTGACGTTTGAGTGGAGGCTAAAGTGACTAAGTTACCATTATCTTATTTTGAAATGAATACTAAGCAATTTGAATTAATTTACACTAATGTGTGTGACTTCAAATTTGTGCAAACTAGATGTAGGAAGAAATATTATATCACTTTTATTGACAAATGCACAAGATATTGATAGTTTACCTATTAATGGAAAAGAGCGAGCAATTGAAGCCTTCGTAAACTTAAAAATTGAGGCAGAAAATCAACTTGATTGTTTGAAGGGATAGAGATGGAGATTATGTGGCACCATTTGAAGGATTATGTAACTAAAGTGGCATAATTCATGAGTCAATGGCTTCATACTCACCTCAATCAAACAGTGTTGTTGAACACAAAAATTGAATACTTCAAGAAATAATTAATACTTTGTTGATAAGTTCAAGATTACTCTAAAACTTGTGGGGGAGGCAGTATTAACTCTGAATTACATCTTGAACAAAATTTCACTTAAAGATAAGGATGTTACTTCTTACATATAAATATTTGAAAGTGTGTAGTGCTTCAGTTCTATCTTCTAAATAAGTTGCTATCAACCCGAAGACGGTAGATTGCATTTTTATTGGATATGTTCTAAATAGTAGTGCATATCATTTTATAGTTCACAAATAAAACATCCCTAAGATGATGGAAAGAACTACGATAGAATCAAGTAATGCAGTATTCGTTGAGAGCATCTACCTTATAAGAAAAAGATTCAGTTCAGCCGAAAACTCGTTAGTCAAGAACTACATCGTGGAAAAAGGCAAAGGGCTAATAGTTTTGATCGAGAGATTTCAAAACCTAGACATAGAAAATGAACAAGAGTTGAGAAAAAATTTTCTCCGTACGTTGGATAATGATTCAACATCAATCAAGTAAGCGTTGTCGAGTCTTAATGCTCCTTTCTGGAAAAAAAAAAGTAGTAGATAGTGAAATAGAATTAATTGTGCAGAATGACACTTAGGTATTATGTGATCTACTCGAAGGTTGTAAACCTTTGGGATGCAAATATGTCTTGAAAAATGAATTCAAGACTGATAGGTCTATTGATAAATATAAAGTCCGTCTTATAGGGGAAGTCTACAAACAAACCGAAGGATTTGATTTTTTTGACACCCATTCACCAGTGATCAGAATAATATTCATTCGAGTGCTTCTCTCGATTGCATCTTTGAACAATCTTGAGATTCACCAAATGAATGTAAAGACTATATTTTTGAATGGTGAATTAGAAGAAGAAGTGTATATGGAACAACCGAAATAATTTGTTGTTCAAGGCCAAGAAAAAAAGGTGTGTAAACCGAAAAAATCCTTGTACATATTAAAATAAGAACGTTTGCAATGAAATTTGAAATTTGATAATGTTATATTATCAAATAGTTTCAAAATCAATGGCTAGAGATAATAGCTTGATTGATGAGGTCAAGCGCAGTTGGAATTTCAACATGAAAGACATGGGAGTAGCCGTTTTATTCTCAGAATTATAATTTTAAGATGTGACAATAACATTGTTTTAACTTAGTCCCACTACGCATGAAAAGTACTGAGAAAATTTAATGTATCTGATAATACTCCTACAAAAACTCCAATGTACCTCAGTTTGCACTTGAGCAAGAATAAAAAAGACTCTATAGTTCAAGAATAGTATATCAAAATAATTGGAAGTCTGATATACTTAACAAATTTTATAAGGCCTAACCTAGTTTGCTTTATAAACAAGCTAAGTTGATACACTAATAATCCTAATTATGAACGCTAGTGGGAGTTTTGAGTTATTTGAAGTTTAATAATGACTTTGGCATATATTATATGAGATGTCCTCAAGTATTTGAAGATTACTGTGGTGCTAATTGAATATCTCTGATACAAAAGACTCGTTGTCTAGGAGCGGATATGTATTCACTATTAAAGGTGGAATTTTTTGCAGAAATTCACAAAATAGGCATGTATTGCACAATCCACTATAGAATCGAAATTCATCGTTTTGGATAAAATTGGTGAAGAAGCTGAATGGTTTAAGAACTTCTTAGATGACATTCCAAATTGGACCAAACTAGTACCTCCAGTGATAATTCACTATGATAGCCTAAGTTGCGATAGCAAAGGCTAAAAATAAAATTTACAATGGTGAATCCCGATAGACATAACATTGTGAAATATTTGATCACAAGTGGGTTTTGAACGTTGATTATTTGAAGTCAACAGAAAATCTAGCGAATCGGCTAACCAAATGGTTACAAATGGATCAAATATACAGATTGTTAAAGGAGATTAATTGAAATTTACAAGTTAGAGACTATTACAGTGGTACCCAATCAAATCATTTGAAGATATAAGTCTTGTTTCAATGGAAAAACTAAGCTATAAAGGTTTGGCATGAACACTCGATCTCTATTCCATGAAAAGAAACGAATTTTAAGAAGTGCAAAAGCGGTGAGGTTAAGTCAATGACTCTTAATAATCCTAGAAATATTAGTTAGATATTTAAGATATGATTACATATATAACTGTGAAGTGTGGGCCTCTTCAAAAGAAACACTTATGAATTCAAAGACGTGATCCATGGCAGAAAAGAATTACAATTTGATAACAAAATAAAGTTGAAATAGCAACACATCAACATTATCAACTTAATGTATGCTGAGGTTGAACAGTTCAATGCATCATGTCAACTGGACCACCACTGGTACACTCTGTAATGTTGACTATGGAAGATTTAAAGTAACAAACTATATGCCTTGATGTGTTGATATCTCTCTAAAAATGATTTGTGCATTGTCTTTTTTATGGACATTTCTACTCATGTAAGGGATTTTTGGATAATTGGTTATTATTTACCAATTAATCAATGAGTGAACATGTGATAGACCGGTGAACCAAATTAATTCGATTAATTTGAATTAAATATATATTTTGGATATGGAACTTGGGTAATATTTGGCTATTTGTGTTTGTTTCAAGACAAACTGAATTGTGAATTAAATATATATTTTGGATATGGAACTTGGGTAATATTTGGCTATTTGTGTTTGATTCAAGACAAACTGAATTGTGAAGCTAAAAGTTAAATCCAGGTATATGGCCTAAGTCTCAGGATTATCCAGTGGACAAATCTATTATAACTTCAATCGGAATGTTTGAAATTACTATAAATTACAATCATCTCAAGCGTAAGGTTTTAAATTATCATAACTTATTACTGTCTCAAACGGAAGATTTAAAACTAACATAAATTACGACACCAATTACGTTAGTAATTAAGGCCATAATTATGATAGTAATTAATCATCTGTCATTTTTGTTTAATGGAGACGTCTATATATAGGGTCTCCCCCTTCATTTTTAAAACACACCAACCACTTGAGCTATTTCCTCTCCCCTTCTCTTCTACTCCTCTCTTAGTATTTCCAGCAAGTTTTTCCTGTCATATTTCAGCAATTCATTCTAGCATTTCAGCAAAGCTTGGTTCCTTCATCGTTCTTGTTCATCAGAGCTCCGACTTATTGAGGTGTCACCTAAGCCGGAGACGAAAGTTATTTTACCTTTAGGGGCAAATCGTCATCACCGAAGGCACTACCGAGACGTAATTTATCTTGCAGGCAGAGGGTGTCCTCGACTTGACTTCATTTCTAGTCAGCATTACTCTATCCTATTTTTGATTTATTTATTATGTAATTTATTATCTCCCGCAACAATATTAATATTATTTTCAATAAAACATACATTTAAAACAAGATAATGTAATAACTACATTATTACATTCCGATGATTTTTTAACAACTTATATACAATCTCATAATGTAATAACTACATTATTACATTCTGATGATTTCTTAACAACATACAATCTCAACCGAATACTTAATAAGTTAAGTACTATTTTTAGATTCTTTGATGGGTCAACGATGCATCAATTTCGACCAAAAGGAATTTAAACCTATAATTATTTTTATAACATTGTATCAATAAAAGTACAAAATGCCTTCACAAACTAAAACATCCATCTATTATGATTATAATAATAATCCCTTCTCCGTCCGATTAAAATAGCTCTATTGGATCCGACACGGGGATTAAAAATAAATAAATATTTTATTAAAAAAATAAAAAAGTAAAAAAGTTTAATTTAGCTCATAATTTAAAAATAAAAATGAAGAGAGAAATATATAAATTAGTGATATATGTTGTAAATAAATATTAAATTGAGGATAATAGTTAAATATTTATTTTTTATTTTTTCAAATATAATAATAAGATAAATTTAACGGACAAGAAAAAAAAAAGTAAAGCGAAGGAAGTACTAAACTTTGCAAATTAAAAAAAAGGGCAATTGACCACGTTTTGAAAATAAAGGAGGAGACCATTTATATGTATTCTATATATATATATATATTGAGTAAATTTAACCCGCCTTAAAGTATACCTCGTAATTACTTATTTTTTACGAGTAAATGTATGTTTTCTGTTTTGTCATGAAATAAATAGAAATAACAATTCTCCCCATTTGACCTACCATAAAGTATACATTTTGTTATTTTTGTTTATCTCGTGACAAGGCATATATTTTCTTTTTTAGTAAATTTGACCATATTTTATACTTCCTCTATTCCAATACAAAAGTCTTGTTTACCATTTTTGTCCGTCCCAAAACAATAGTCTTATTTACATAAATAACCATATTATCATAAAACTACTCCTATTTTTTTATTTTTATTACACAATTACCACTATTTTTTACACTAATACACTCACAAAGACAAAAAAGTTTTTTATCTATACTTTTTACCAACTATAAATATAATATCAATATTCCTTAAATTTCGTGTCCAACACAATTAAGACTATAATTTTGGGACGGATGGAGTATTATAAATACTCTCAAATTTACACTTTTTCTTATTTTAAATTTTAAATTTATAATTTATAATTATTTTAATTTTAATTAAACTAATTAGTTATTTTAATTTTAATTTAAAATTATTTTTATTATATGATAATTATTTTTACTAATTATCATATAATACCCCTTATAAATTTTCGTGTTTACCGGATGATCGTTTAGTATTCACATGAAAAATTAATATATATATATATATATATTTGGCAACAAACAGAATGAGTATTATAAATCTAATAAAGTACTAAATAGTAATATAAAATAGTAAATGAGATTAATTAAAAGTAAATAGCAAAGAAAATTAGAAGCAATTTCATCTAAAAATATATCAAAAACTCATGAAACTCTGAGAGGTGTACCAGCCGACGACAATTGGTAGGTGGCATGGCATACAAAGAAAACTCTATTATTACTGTATTTTCAAAAAAAACAAATTTATCATGTTATATAAGTAAGATTATCAATAAGTTCTCTTTCCAAACCATAATTGTTACATCTACTGAAAAATATCTCATATAAAATGTAAGGATTTGTTTTTTTTTTTTTTATCATTATTCAAATAATGATTTGATTTAATATTAAAAAAAAATGTAGTTTATTTTTATTTAAAAATATAATATCAAAAAAAAATTAAATAACGAAACATGCCGTAATTTTTCATCAACATATGTATAATTTGCAACAAGGTCTACATGTTATATATCCCATCATCAAATAATATTCAATTTAAATGTGTATTTGAGGTTTGAATTGAATTTGAAAATTAAATTTTTTTTATTTAAATAATACTCCTCCGTCCTACATACCGTGTCTGCTACACACGATATTTTAGGAATGGTGTAATTAGTAGATAATTAAGAATGTATTAGTGAAAATAATTATCAGATAATATAAATAATTATAAATTATAATTAAGATAACTAATTAGTTTAATTAAAATTAAAAAAAATAAATTAAAAAGTTTAAAATGAGATTAAAGTGTGTAATATTTTTTTTAAAAAAAAGAAAGTAATATGGAATGTGGGACGGACAGAAACGGCAACGTGGACATGGTATGTGGGACGGAGGGAGCACTTTTTCTTAATATAATATCAAGTTCTAGCATAACTCCTAATGAAATATTGCAGGTGTGTTAGTGATTCGTTTTCAATTTAAGTGTTGATTTTTAGATTTTATATAACAAAACAATATATGTTTGTTGAAATATATATTCAAAAAAAAAATCACCAAAAGAAATAGAATCTGCATCTATACTGTTTAAGAGGATATTTGGCATAGCAAATGATAAAATAAATTTATTTTTTTTTATTTGTGTTTGTCCTTAATTAAAGATTGAAAGATATTTTATTTTTATATAAAAGAAATGAAATAATTAAATTTGTAAAAAAAAAAAAAAAACATTACATTTTTTTTTTTCATGCCGTAGTCTCGCCCTACATCATCACAATTGGACTTTACATAGTTTATTTTTAAATTAGTACTATCTTTGTTCGGCTCTAAGGTCTCATTTACTTTTTACGTGTTAATCTTTGAATATTAATTATTATATCAAAACTTAGTACAAATTAAGAAAAATTTACAAAATTACTTTCGTTAGTGTCTTATAACACTAATAGAAGGACATTCGTAAAAAAAAATATATACAAATATAAGGATATTTTTAATGTTAATACAATGAAGCAAAAAGTAAATGTGACCTCTAGAAGCAGACGGGGAGAATAATATGTATGCATATGGGAATGGTTACGAAAAAATCAACATCATGCTAATTTTTTACATCAGCACACATTCGATATATTGTGTTTTTAATAATAACAAATATGTTATATACAAGTATATCATGTGTTGAAATCAACTATCGTGTGTGTTATATGACTATAACATGTGCTCTTAATTCATGTGTTGTATTTGTATTACATTAACCTATACAATGTGTTATCTGTGTTAATACTGTATATTGTGTGTAGTAATATTTTGTATCTATAATATGTATTTTTTGTTCATGTATATATACAATATGTTGTAGTAATAGCAAAATTTAACACTGCAGCCGTCGCAGTATATATATAACAAATAGAATAAATAGTTTTGTTTTGTTATGTAACTACAAAACGCGGCAAGTACTATCTAATATATATTTTTATAACACAATAAGTTAAGGTATCAAACTAAGGGTGTGTTTGTTTGGGGGATTGAATTATTCATCCAATTTTTTTCCCCCAAAAATATCAAATTAAACACTTATTTTTTATTTTTTATATTATATTAAAAACCAATTTTACATTCAAAACATCACATCAACACCTATTTATATCACATCATACAACTCTTCAAATTCAAAATTTTTACTATTCAAATCCCGATTCAAAATCCAAACCCCCAAACAAACACACCCTAACAAGAAACATTTAACACGTTTTCAAATCATTTTACCCCAATAATAAAAATAAATTTTTAAATATCCTTTTTCTCATCAAATACAACATTATGAATTCAAAATCTATTTTAAAAAAGTAAAATCCATACGATCCAAGCCACTGCTTAATAGTAGTCATACATTTTTAATCACAACAAAAGGGGTATTTTTATAAAACCCGAAAACTCAAAGATCCACCCCTCCTCCCTAAATTCAGCCGAAGACTATTTCAAACTCACCATAGAACTGGTTTCTTCCAACCGAGTTTGGACAGATACACAGATTCTGTAATGCTAAGAAACAGCTACAGCATTTTCTTCACCTGATTCTTCTACGCCCCTCGGCTTCTTTTTATGCTTTCGTCTTTTTTGTTTCTTCATCAGTCTTTTTAAATCCTTGACGCTCTTTTCCCATTGTTTTCGGTTCTTCTGATACAGCATCATTGCTGCCCGGGCATCTTCTATCTGAAAATTGGCTAAAATGTTAACAACTCACTAGGGAAACGACCAGTGTATTCACCCAACATCAAATTTTCTATACGATTCTTGATGAATATTGTAACATAATCCAATACATACACACACCACATATATATATATATGTAAAGAAGACTTATCACCTCAAAAAAAAAAAAAGGTAGGAGTCTGTTTCGATGTGTTTTCAATCTCATATTTAGCACTATGTAATCTACATTCAAATACTTATTTTTGTTCAAAATAATTCAAATTCAATATTTCCATAATATAATTCACTTATATCAACAGTATCTGCCACTGATTTTTCAACAAATAAAATTGAAAATGTTGGTGAATTTAAATTAGTTATGAAATCACAATCTCCCTCTGTTTATGATCTTGTTCATAAATATTTCACTAGTATTTTCTTCACACACAATTCCTCAAAAATATTACCTAAAGAATACAATAAATACACATAATAATTCGAAGTCAACAAAAACAGGCAAAATATGATTTCCTATAATACCTTTACGATTCTCTCTGTACCTCACAATAAAATCATCTAAAACTATAAACATTAAATAAACATGCTCAAATCAGTGCTTAAATTAAGCAAATGGGGGTACAGTCAAAAGTCTGTAAGCACATCAAAACAGGAAAATCAGAGGGAAAGAACCAACCGGGCAGTGTTCGCCATTTTGAATTTCAACATTGAGAAACTCGGCAGCAAGTTTCTTGAGGGAGCGGCTTCGTCCGTCCCTGATTTATGAAGCAATTATATAAGTATTGAGTTCAAAGTGTTTTGATTCATGTAAGAAAAAACATGCGCTCTGTTACAGACATACTTTAGATAAGGTGCATATTCTGCTGTGTCTCGTATATCCGTCTTTGGATGTGACAACAACAATGCCTGAAGATAATCAATTTATAAGATTAATAACTAAATGTAAGATGTAGATCTTCAGACTAGAATTTTGTATCTACAGAAATCCACTTTTAGATCATTCCGCAAGGCATGTCCAACGATGATCCTGCCCTTGATAACCTCAGCCACTTTCTTCTGAGCAACATTGAAATTCTTGGCTGCAAGAAGTCAGAGTAATAGTAAAGAAAATATATCCAAAGAGAGTCTGAGGAATGTACACTGGCGGCTTCCTCCAGTATCCCTCATACCTTATTCAACAGAAAAAAATGGAAGGAAACAGATGGAAAAAAAAAAAAAAAACAAATAAACCAGGGTGTTCAAGGTGCTCAAAGAAAGTCTTTATCATTGTTGTTTTAGTTAATTTTATACTACAAATCAGTACCTTATTAATTTTAAAAATAAAAAAAATCATACAGACAACTACAATAAAATTTCCTCTAATCTTTAAAAATTGCACAGCATAGGGCGTAGAGGGGATTTTTCGTGACATTTGAAGTGGTTCTTGATGTTTTGTATTTCACAAGAAGGGCATTTGCAATGTACTCTTCAGTTATTAACTTCTTTATGGACAAAAAGTCACTCCCTTCGTCTCCCAAAATCATAACAGTATTCCTTTATTTTACTGTTAGTTAAACTTATGCATATTCTATTTATCATAAAGCACCTAATGAACCTATAACTTTATTACCCTTATTTTAACAAATAATAACAATTTTGCCATTATTTTTTTCTACTTACCCCACCATCTTTTATCTACTCATTAATAAATTTCTTATAATACCTTCATTTTATGTTTTACCTACCTCAACTTAATATTATAATATCATTATTTCTTAGCCTCTGTGCCCAACCAAAGTTATATAATTTTTACAGACGAAGTAATAAATAGCACTGACCTTTCCTCAAGTCATGTGGTCGAATTCCACTTATTTGTGTACGGAAGTCAACAACATACTCCACTGGGCGAACATACTCATCATATATAACGTTTCCCCACTTGTTTACCTGCCATGTGCTAAAGTTGATTTAATAGCTAAAAAAAATTTAGGTTCATATCTACCCTATCCAGAGATAAACTAAGTTCAAACTCTGACCCGAAACAACAAGCTACACAGACCGGGAGGTTGTAGCTCAAGAGCTTGAGCACTCCTTGGCATCCTTAAAGTTGGGGGGTTAAATCCCCGTGGTGTGCGTGTGTGGGGTAAAAAAAAAAAACTACAAGCTACACAGCAGTGCATGTTCAAAGGACAGTGTTGGAGGAAGTCAATATAACACAGTATAAAAGTGAGAAGCAGGTCCTGCGTTCAAATCCTAATTGTCACCCATTTATAAAAAAAAAATGCAATACATCAAGCTACTAATTCTAAATAGGTAAGGTTGTGGCTCAAAACATCGCATTATTAGTTGCATTTGAATAAACAATGCAACACATCAAGCTACTAATTCTAAATATGTTAATGGTGGTAATCAGGGCCAAAACAAGTTGAGGACTGCAAAAGCAACTGTGGTTTCCTGCTAAATCCATCAATTCCAGCTGATTTCAAAGCTCAATATAATTAAACATTGTACAGTTAAAAATACGACAGCAGCATACGGTGAAAGACAAAATTACCAGGGTAACTCTCCCAAGTGCACTCTTGTTGCCCTGTGAACTGACACCAACCATTTCACAATCCATTGCCACCACATCTGTGACACTGTCTCACCAATTAGGAACACGAAAAATCATGGGAAAAAATAAAAAATAATAATAAAAAACAATAGAAAATGATATAAGCCAGATGAAATGGGGAAGGATGAGGCTTCACAATTTATGGGGAATCGCAAGAGCTATGGAACTTTTCCTGTATAAATTTAATGCTCAGTCCATTCAAAGCATTTTCTACCACATTTCAGAACAGAACATTTTAGCGAGCCTTTGTTGTCATCCCGTGAATATATTCACGAGAACACCCAATACCAAACACCAACAGGTACTCTTTTGTATATTATTATTTGGCCAAGTAGATTATTCATATTAAATTAAGCTGCTTTCTTCCCATGCATCCCTCCCTTTTCTATTCCCAAAAGATTTGATGCCAAAAAGAAATAATAATGAAAAACTATTAACCAGTAACCACTTTGTCAAAGACTAACATCAGGATTTATTCTCTTAACAATTGAAACTTAATAAAACAATGAAAGTTAAGGGTACAGATTGTACTACTATTCCTGTTATGTTTAGTTCCGAATAAATAAAAATTCTCCGCTGCTAATGAATCAAGCATAATACGATCATTATTGCCAAACGTGAGTGTTAGAGCAGAGAATCAAGTCTTCAGTAAATTTCTACTTGTATGCATTGTTTACAGTATGACAAATTAGCTGATTTTGCTGCCTTACTCTCTGATTTATAACTTCAAAATTCCAAAATTGAAAAGGAAAATATATACATATATAAGTGGAATGTCATCTCTGAGAAACCTCAACAATCCATCAATCTCCTGCCAAATACGATTAAGAAAAAAAAAAAAGTTCATCTAGAAAGACACCTGCAGTCAGACGAAGTAGGAATCAATGGATTAGGCTTTCCCGCAACCGAATCCTCATCTGATCTCTCCTGGCGTTGGCGTTTCCCTGCGAATCCCCCAATTCAGGATCAATTACGTCAAAACTATCATTATATGCAGCAGAATCCAATTAAACGAATGATCTGGGACGAGGACGAAAGGAAGAAACACTGCAGTACCTAATATACTTCTCTGAGTTTCCTCATTCGATCTGCGCGAATGCTTGGAGCCACTGGTTTTCAGCTTCTGCAACAAATACATATACAAATTAAGGCATAAAAAAATCGAACTACACAACATATCCATCACTCCTATTCATATTCGAGGAATGGAACGAATCATTGAAAATACCTCGAGGAGCTGCGCCCAATTAGGGTTCAGGCTTTTGCTAAGGCTTTTTAATTTACTCGCCATTGTCAAATTCTTCTCTACTTCAGCTTCAGTTTTGTGCGAGAAGCCAAAGCCCTAATGTTGTATTTTGTGCCGCGCGATTTTAAGCATACCTACTAGCGATTTTTAGGGTTTTTTAAATAAACGTGCTAAGTCAATAATTTTTTTCAAAAAATAAATTTTAAATAGTTCTCAAAATTATTTAATTTTAACAAATTGAGAAGTTCCCCGAACTCCTTGAATGTAAATTTAAGGAGTTTTGAGAACTCATTTTTGTAGTAAATTAATAATTTCTAACAATATTTTAATGAATTCTCAGAACTCTTTAAGAACTTCTTTTTAATTATGGGTGTGTTTGTTTGGTAGTTTGATTTTTGAGTTATATTTGAATAGTAAATATTTTGAATCGAAATAATTTTGTGATGTTATATAAATATAGTATTGATGTAATATTTTAAAAATAAATTTAATTTGTAGTATAATATAAAAAAAATTAAAAAATGTGTTTACTTTGCTATTTTTGGAAAAAAAAATTAAATAAATAGTAAATTATGAGTATAATCTCATAACCGAACACATCCTATATATATTAATTTATTTTTCTTCTTATTTTTTAATAAAAAATTTCTTTTGTTCTCCATGTTCTCACTTGTTAAGATAATTTTTTTTCTTTTCTTTTTTTCTTAATCTAAAATATAATTTTATATTTGTTGGGTATTTTATTGTTAGTTTTATAAAATATTAATTTTATATTTGTTGGGTATTTTATTGTTAGTTTATAAAATATTAATAATTATTTGGTTTATATATATATATATATATAATTTTTCATGAATATAATATTAATAATTATTTGGTTTTTATATTTTTTTTTTATTTTTAATACTATTTTCGTCCACTAATAAATTGACATTTATTTTTTGTATGTTCATATTTATATATTAATTATTTTATAAAAAATAGTATAAATCAAGAGAAAAAAAAATTTTTATAATACAAATATAATGATATTTGTATAAATATAAAAATATTTTTAATATTAAGTACACTGACATAAAAGATAAATATAAATTTATTAAAGGGACGAATGGAATAATTTTTATTTAAAAGTAACTCATAATAAAAATTATTAGTAAAATTATATTTTATCTTACATTATTTTTAGTAATAAAAAAATATAAAAAAGTTATAATTTTATCTATACACATATCATATTAGTATATATATAAAAGATATATGATCTGCAATATTATTACTATTATATTTTAATTTTTCTTTTTTAAATTTTGAATTTTTTCTGTTTAGTTTAAAACTCTTTATATGTATGATAAATTTATATTTATATATTTTATTGTTAAAAATAATATGAGATAAACTATAATTTTGTAAATTTTTTTATTATGATTTACTTTTATAAAATTTATTAAAAATAAATAAATAAATATCAAATAATAATTAATATTACATTAATCAAAGAACACACAAATTTCTTAAAATAAAAAAATTTATAAAATCTAGTATATAAAACTATCAATATCATCCAAAAATTAAAAAACAAATTCAAAATGGTTATAAATGTGTATGAAATATTTTTTAATATTTATTAAAACTAGAAATTAAATATCCAATAAATATAAAATTATGTTTTAGATTAAAAAAATAAAAAAAAAATATCTTAAAATACATTAGGAAGAAGATAATGAACAAAAGAAAAATTATAGTACAACAGTCCGACTCTAAAACTCCCCTTTACTTTTTGCGTGTTGATATTTGAATATTAATTATTATATTAAAACGTAGTATAAATTAAGAAAAAATTGCAAAATACTTCCGTTAATGTCTTATAATACTAATAAAATGACATTTGTACAAAAAAAAAAAATTATACAAATATAAATATATTTTTAATATTAAGTACAATAGTGCAAAAGGTAAATACGATCCTTAGAAGCAGACGAATGGATTATTAAAAGTTAAGAAAGAAAGAAAATACATTAATATATATATAGTTAAAAGAAATTCTCAAAACTCTAATTCAATTAGATAAGAGTCAAATATATCTATTCATTAGTATTACAAATAATGTTAACAAAAAAATTAACGTGGAAACAAAAATATTATAATATATGTCATATGAATATTTGACGGTGAAATATCCACTTTATTGATAAATGAATAAAGAGATAGGTTTGAACACTTAAAATATATCACTCTTCCGAAAGTTCTATATGATTGGCTTAATTTACGTTTGTAAAATTGTAAAACTTATAGAATATAACTCTGATATTCATCAAATTACATCTCAATTAAAACTATGAAAAGACAATGTAACTAAGAATGATAAATAATAAAAGACAATCTCTACATTTTATACTTCTAATGTTGTATTGCAACAAAAGTATCGTGAGAAAAACTTTTAAAAATACTCATAGTTCATTGCATATTTTTTATTAGTTAAGTAGAATAATAAGTTGATGAAAAATCATCAGTCCTAGCCCACTAGTTTCAGTCCGTTCCCAAAAGCGAACGTGATATTTTCTGAACGAGGTCGTGGATGTGGTCGCAGTCATAAGAATCAACACAATCGATATACCCCATACAATCATCACAGTTTTGATATTAATAGGAAATAGAGAAAACTCCAATATGGGATGTAGTTGAAAAGGCTAAATAGGAAAAGAGGCAAATCAACATTTGTTATTGGTATGGCATTAAAGGTCATTAGGCTAATACCTGCAGAACAATCAAACACCTAAATGATCTGTATCAAGTCTCATTGCATAAAGAAGGGGAAGAATGTCGAGACTAATCATGTCGACAATGAGGACGTCTCGATGATGATCTTCTGGATTATGACACAACACGTCTTGATATAACGGATTTCGTCATAGATTCAACAAACCTCCAGTGACAGACTAATTATGTCATTTTAAATTATATTATTTTATATTTTGTAATATTAAAATTAGTGTTTGTATCTTTTTGTACTATATTTTGTAATTTTTATATTTTCTTTTATTAATACTGCATTTATCTATATTTGAATGGTAAAGAGATGTCAATCAAAATGATGCTAATATGTGTTTCATTGACAATGCAACAACACATACTATATTGAAACACAAAATATTTTTCTCATTTGAAAAGAAAAAATATGAATGTCAATACAATAAGCGACAGTACGAAATTAATTGAAGGCTTTAGAGAAACCATTATATATTTTCCAGCGGGGACGAAAATTATGATACAGTATACACTGTTGGCCACTAAAGCTCGAATAAATTTACTAAGCTTCCATGACATTTGGAAAAATGGTTATCATATTGAAACTATGAGTGATACCAATTGTAAATTTTTATTGATCACCAATATCATTGATAAAATGAAATTCATCATTGAGATATTACTCCAACTCTCTACTTGTTTATATTATGAAAATTAAGTGTTATTGAAACACACCTCACGATAGATCAAAAGACTACAGATTTTCAAATATGACATGATCGCTTTGGGTATCTTGAAAGTATAATGATGAGGCGAATAATTGAGAATTTGAATGACCATTTATTAAAAGGTCAAAAAGTATTAAACTCAAATAAGTTAACATGTGTTGTCCGCACTCAAGAAAAATTAATAACCAGGTTATCACCAGTTAAAGTAAGTATTGAATCATCTATATCTTTGGAAAGAATACACAAGAATATATGTGAACCAATGGACCCTACCACGTAGCCCATTTAAATATTTTATTATCCTTATTGATGCATCTACCAGATGATCTCATGTTTGTTTATTATCTACTCGCAATATGATATTTACGAGATTGTTTGTCAAATCATTACATTACAGACATAGTTTCTCAATAATCCAATTAAAATTATATGTCTAGATAATGCTAGTGAATATTTATCAAATACATTTGATTATTATTGCATATCAATTAGAATCAATGTAGAGCACCCACTTCATCATGTTCATACACAAAATGACCTGACAGAATCACTTATTAAAATAATGCAATTGATTTCTAGATTATTACTGATGAGGTTTATGTTGCACGTTTCAGCTTGGGGGCATACAATTTTACATATAAGAACTCTTATAAGAATAAAACCGACAAACCATCGTAGCTATTAGGGGTGGAAATAGGTCAAGCTAGACCAGACTTGACTTTGGCTAAATAGGTCTGACATGTTTTAAAAACATGTAATTTAAGTCTGGCCTATAAACCTAAAAAATATATATATATATTTTAAAAGCCTAAGTCTAAATATGACATTTTTAAAAGTTTGGTCTGGCCTACAAGTCTATTTTAAAAACTATATAATAATTTAGTTTTTTTTAAAAAAAAATTAGTACTAGAAATAAAAAATAAAATAGATACAATTTTTTAATATATATATAAAGTTAAAAAATTATATTTTCTATAATAAATTTATAATTAAAATTATTTAATAATATTATTATTAGATACATTATAAAATTATTCTTAATAAATAATAATAAAAAAAAGATTTTATAAAAATAAAAATAATAATAAATAGGTCGGTTAATTAAAAAGATTTTTTTTTTATAAACCTAAGTCTACTCTATTTGAATAAAAAGACTATAAAATTTTTTTTTACCTGACCTTTTTAATAAATAAATTAGGCTATGTCAGACTTAATCTATTCTCATCCCTAATAGTTATTCTCCTTTGTAGTTAGTATTTTGTTATGAACTGAATATATCTCATCACATATTTTTGAATGTATTGTTTATGTTCCTATTTTACCTCCCAAATATACAAAATGAGTCCTCAACATAGATTAAACATATATATGGTATAAATCATTGTCACTTATAAGATATCTTGAACCTATGACAGGTGATTTATTTATTGCAAGATTTCTACATTGTCATTTTGACGAATCATATTTTCCAATATTAGGGGAGACATAAATGAACCGAAAAATGATATTAATTGAAAAATCTCATTGAATTTTTGCGATCCTCATACAAAGAAGTATGCACTAAAAAGTTCAACATATTATACATTTGCAAAATATTACAAATCAGTTATTGGATGTTTTCAATAACTCGAGTAAAGTC